TCGACTGAGATGGTTGGGTCACGTGTTACGTATGCCTTAACACCGATTACCACGACGGGCAATGCTGAATAGTGTTGGAGAAGGATGAAATAAATTTAGTGGCAGCCAAACCAAAACGTAGCATCAGTCCACAAAGCCACTAACTTCTGATCTGAGCCATGTTGGGAGATGCAGACTACTTGGTTGGGGTCCGTGTGACTATCGTAACCAATGGTTGGTGACTCTTGGTGACATGGCTCCGAATCAATCACAATGGCGATGGTGTATACACTCTCTATCTTCGCTTAAACTAAGAGATTAAAATTGCTTTATACCTTTCTTTCTATGAGCTTATTCTTTTTCCCTACATCATATACCTATATGCAATCTTTTTTAATATATACTTACACCATTGAATTAACATCTTCTATGATTTTGGTGTTCATCTTGTTGTGCTAATGAGGTGTAGCAACTTGGACTGATGCATATATGTGCCTGCTCCTACGTTGTAGATAACTGACTGACTGAACTCAATTTAACCCAAATATTTAGATTAATCAAACGTATTAAGAGAGTAAAACTATTATGATTTACACTGAATAAATAGTTTATCTTTTGGTCTGTTATTATTTATGACTGTGTTAATATTGTTTTCTTATAAAAAGAAATGAAACATTCTTAGTCATCAGTTCCCCAAAATACAATCAATGTTATTGCAATGGTTAATTTTTAAGCTTTTCTACTGTACAAACTGTTTATTTTAGGCTGTAAATCAGTATATTATTCACTTGAATTAAACTAACACAGATGGTTTGTTATCTTATTAGTAGATTTATCTATTTTATTCATATTTAAAGATTATTCAATGGAGAATACTTATCTTGTATTCAACATACAATTCATTTTATCAATAAAGCTTAACATGATTGGACGATTTGTTAAATATTTGTTTGAATAAGTACAATTTGTTGTCATCACACTATCCTTGATATACTCTTAAGGTTGCATATAATTAACAAGAGTTATGTATAAACAATTTATCTGGCATAATAATTAATGTTACGTCCTTGATCTGTCTACCCACTTTTGGTGCTGAGGATAACTTGTCTAACGTACTAGATTAAGACCTTGACGCGATAGGCTAACCGGCTTTACTTTGAGGCCAGTACGCGTGAGTTCGAAGTGGGGTAGAGAGAAGAAAACTATTCTATCACCTGATTGTCTGACAAGCACGCAAGTGAGAGAAGACAAGTCAACTAGAACACTACTCGATTTATTCCCAATTCCGATCTGGTTCCCGATTTCCAGATCAGTGTAAGAACATACATGAATAAATAAATGACTAACCCGACCACAATGTACAATAATTAGGTAAATACAACTATGTCCAAAACTGGGAATTAGCGTAGAAAATAAAGTACAAAATAGTACGTTTAAATTACAATAGCTTTGGAACAAAAAGGGCTATATCAGTGAATCATACATCAAACGAAAGCTTAAGTTCTGTAGAATAGATTAGGGACAAAAATAAATGTTAATGTTTTACAAGCTTTGAATTAACTGAAATAAGTCCCGAAAAATAGGTTTCGTAGTTTGTCAAGGATTGTTGTTTCTCTGTTCACATCAATTAATTTATTCAGAAATTATCTACTAAACATAAATCTAACTTTGATAATCCTATCTGATGAGGCGTTCTCAATTATATTCGAAAAAAGAAAGGACTTTGTGTTATATCGCCCAGACAAGGGTTCATGAATTGTCCTTATGAAGTGTTTTGACTAAGTTATCAAATTATCTTCGATATTATCCGATCCTGTCAAATTCTCTAAAGAAACTGTTCAAAAAGACGAAACTGAAAAAAAAAACGGAACAGATGCTGATTAAAATTTTAAGGAAGATGAAAGATGAGTTCATTATCAGAGAAAGAAACATATATATATATATATATATATATATATATATATATATATATATATATATATATATATATATATATATATATATATATATATATAAACATGCTTAAAAGTAGTAACTTTAATAAAGAGAGTTTCTTGTAAATACTGGAATGACAAGATATACATCCACTATTTTTCAACTAGATTTGTATATAATATCAGTAGCTTCTTTTTTCCATAGATCTATAAAAATCTACATAAAAAACTGATATCACTTGAAAGACTTTCGTTAAATCAAATTCTATTGAATAGTTCTGTTGTTGTTAGTTTGCAATTCGTAACAGTATGCTTTACGTAAAACATTGAAATGAAAAATACTTTTTTTCACTTATTGAAAATGTATAAAAATAGTTTTAAATTGATATCATGAATGGATCAATGTTAGACCAGCACTGAAAACCTGGAAGAACTGGACTGTCGTTTCGTTCTACTATAGGACTCCTTAGAAGTGCGCATCCACAATCCTGCACGCGGGATTCGAGTATGAGGCAATTACTCATTGAAGACAATCGAGAACGTTCGCTCAATATCGTAGATTAGTTGGAGTTAGATATTAACACCACTGGATGCTCGCTCAGTAGTCTATAGGTTAGGGGTTCGCTCAAGAGACCGTAGATCCAGGGTTTGAGTCTCATGTGTGGGATCGTGAATTCGCACTTTTGAAAAGTCCTATACTAGAACGAAATGGCTGTCTAGTGCCTCCATGCTTTAAATGGTGGTCTAACATTGATTCGTTCATGATATCAATCGGAGGTGAAAAAAACTTTCACAACCCCCCACTGATAAAAATAAATTGTTTAACTTTTCTGTCGTTACATTCTTTGTTGATATTTTTACATATAAACATGCACCTAGACAACCAAAAATTTCAATAAAATCTATCATTTGTTGGCATTCATTTGATTTTATTTTTTCTTTGTATACACAACAATCATTATCTTTACTTCAATGTTTATTGATTGAATTTTGTATAATGTAACAGATTTTTGTTTTAAGAATTGTAAGCATTTTTTTTATTGTTTTGATGTCATGGATATATATGTTTATGTGTGTGTGTGTGTGTGTGTAACCACAATAAACACGGTTTATAAGCTGATTGATTCATCTAGAATTTATTCATTCGATTTCATTAAAATCAACTATATTCATATCACCATATTACTAAGTGAGTTAACTAAAGATTTTTGGTTTCTAATAAATTTGATAATTATATCATTCTAATGTATTAGAAAAGGATAATTTATTATATTGGAAATTCTACCTTGTGCATGAACATTGTTAAAATGCAGTTAGTCTGCTAAAAAGTTGATAATAATTCACCAAGGTACTGTAGTGAACAATCACACATGCTGGGACAATTAAATGTACTTTAATGCAAAATTACAGAATCTTTTATTAAATTCTAAGAATCATGTAGTAAATACTTCATTTGCGAAATGTCAGTCAATTGTCTCAGACTTGATTGTTCCTTCGTTTTTACATCAATCATTCCCTGTTCTCGCTCGTTTCTTTTCAATCTTCTTAACCTTCTGCCACTCGACATTTCACTTTCGATTGATGACACATACTACTTATATCTGTCGACATCAGTAGCACACATCACAGTAGTGATTATCATCTTTTGTCAATGTACATCTCTCAGAAATGTTTATATAGATTCTAAAACGTATATTATATTCATTATCTACTATTCATTGATGATAAAGTCTAATGAGATGATTAAACATTTTGATCAAATATTAAAATATATCTATTAATAAAAATAAGCAGTTTACGAAGAGTGTTGAAATAAAAGTAGAATATGTACAGCTAATATTTCTAGCTTAAATGGACTAGTTATTAGTATCACACTTTCTGTAAGATTACATTGTCTTTGGAGAGCAACTGACTTACATTCGAATCCAGCGTATGGGATCGTGGATGTACTCTTCTGAGAAGTCCCATACAGTTAAAATATGAAAGGACTATAACGGATTATATAATCTTAATTTGATCTTTGTTCTAAGTTAATTGTCAGTATTCCTAATAATTCATTTTTTCATTAATTTATGCAATTAAAAAAAAACTTGATTTGGTTGAAAATAATTTTTGATCGGGCTTTAAAAGATGAGAAAAAAGCATGGAGACAAAATCAATGTTCGATCTCATGAACTTGTTATCTTACGTTTCAATTGTAGTGGAAATTTATTGATTACACTGTGGAACTTGTTACTAACCAATATCCCGAGTCTATTTAACAAAGTTGAGCTAAATAGTTTGAAAATTTGTATGGAACATAATACTTCTAAAATATAGAAATTTATGAAAGAAATAATTAGAATAAGGATTTTCTTAACATTAATTCCAAACTACATTTAACGTTTCTGCAGTCTAATAATCAATCATGTGATTAACATTACAGGAGTCTAATCCAAAAGATCTTTGCTGTTGAAAGAAGAAATTCCGATTTGGTATAGTATATCATCAGTTTGTTTCATGATTCCTAAAACAATATTTGTGTTCTGTTTTTGGTATGAATCCTAATTTCTCATAAGTCTTCAAGACTTCCACAAACTCAATTTCCTGATCAGGTCCCTCAAGAATAATTATCCATCCATGGTGTAGGCAACCACAATATGATAACCGTTTTCACACCTCTAATACCATTTGGAAATGTTTGGGGGCATAGGTTTTTGTTATTCCGAAATGCGTTTATGATTCTTTTTTGGAAAATTATCTAGTAAACTAGGAAATAATCTACAAAGTTAAGCTTTATCGTGCTTTCAGAGAACTAATTAAACAATTAAGAAGCACTAGTGAAGAGTTGTTTCACTATATTTTTCCTTGTTTTTCGACTAAGTCAAGTTAAATGAATAATGTTGTGCGAAAAAGTACCAACAATTAAGAAATCCAAGTAATATACCATATGGAATACCTTTGTATATGAAAAAAATGACAGGAACTACTGAAATAGATTTTTCAATGATTAAACAATTTACCGATTTTTAAAACAATCTAAAACACTATCGTATTGTGAGTTTCATGTTGATATTTCTTCTTGAATAATTACCATTTTTTAACAGAATGGCTATAATGTATATACTTGAAAAAGAATTCGACAGTATTGATAAAAATTCTGATGGATTTCTAAGTAGAGCTGAAATTGTTAGCTGTTTGGAAAGTTTTGGTTTTCCTAAAAGTAAAGCTGAAGTAAGTATTTAGAAAATCATTGTTTTTTTTCACCCCCTTCATAATTGATCTTTTCCCTGAATTAATACATTTTATGACCTTAGGAACACCTTTCGATTTCTGTTATTCTTGAAATCCTCCTTCTGAAGACTTTCATTACATATCCTGAAAACCTTCTATAATTAGCGGAAAAATCTGCTAGTCTAATATACGTTCAATTTTTTAGAATCACGTTACATTGATTTTAACCGTTGATTCTCATTCAAATTACTCATCATGAGGTTTATAGTAGACATCCTGTGTTGATATCAATAATTACTTCCGCCTCCATAGGTCATGAGGGATGCACACTACTGATTGATCCCATACTGAAGTGAAATAACCATTCACAGCTCCCTGATTCTACATATCACTTCAAGTGATAGCACTCGGTGATGAATACAATCCACAAATTGCATATTAATTCTTTCTAATTATTGATTTACGTTCAAATAATACTGAAATTTCACAAATACCTCTATAAAAATTGTTATCGAATCGATCTGTGTAAATCACAAGCTTCAACCAGAATACATATAAATGGGACTAGAAGTGCTATAATATTAAAGGTATAGTAGATGTTGAAAAAATTATCTTGAGTCTAGATGTATTTTGTCAGAAAGTATGGATTTCGTTTGCTGACTTAAGCATATAACTTTATACAGCTAATAAATGCAGTTGAAAAAACGACATTGAATAAATATGATAGGCTTCAAATTAATTCTATTGACTACAAACATCACATTCATTCATCAAAGCAGATAATTCCTGATGAGTTAAATTGGTTATTACCATTTATATATATTATGATATTTAATTAATAATAAAATTTCTAATATTATAAATGACTGTTAGCAATCCTAAATATAATACACAAAATTCGAAAGTAAATTTTGTTTGAAATTACACTTTAGTTGTACACCTTGAATTCTTAATAGTTCAACTTAATTTATATTTTCTTCATTGACATCATGAACCGATTAATGTTAGACCACCATTGAAAACCAGAAAGCAATGGAAGGCCGCTCTGTCCTAGTATGGGACACGTAAGTAGTGCACATCCACGATCACGCTAGAGGAATCCGAACCCACTACCTTTAGTTTCGCGTGCGAACGTCTAACCTATAGACCACTGAGTGGGTATCCAATGGTGTTAATATCTAACTTCAACCAATCTACGATATTGCACGACCATCTTCCATTGTCTGAGGTACATACCTGTCTCTCCCTGACATGGATTATCTCCACTGGTCACGGTTTCTCACTAGAACTCCGATAATACCCTCACAAAGCTAGTCACTAATAAGTACATGATAATTATCATTATTAGGTTATAAAGATGGTAAGTTTTTTTTTGTTGTTCATTGAAATCTTGTATTCCATAATAGAACAAAACCTTCATTCAGGGCTTCCATTGCTCCTAATAATGGTCTAGCATCAATCGATTCATGATCCTAATCAAAATCTTAACAATCTCATCATAATTACCAATTAATCTTTCTAGGTTGTTTTTCTTTATTCATTTCATAATTCAAACTTGAAAAATTTATAATTTACATCGTAAAGTTGTTTAATTCTTTTGACGATTTGTATATATATATATATATATATATATATATATATATATATATATATATATATATATATATATATATATCATGTGGAAAGATAATGAATAAACGTGATAATCAAAATATATTCATCAAAAGAAAAAAACGAACAAAAAGAAACAATTAAAAAGAAGTACATATTTGTTTCAGTTAATAATTGTAACGAATTTTTTGACATCCATAGAAAAAAGAAGAAAAGAAAAAGAAAAACAAAGGAAGATTCTATTTGTTCGATTGGTATTTTTAAAAAAATTAATGAGCACAACAACAAAAAAGTCGTTATTTTTTTCTCGTTTTCTTTTTTCTCTTTATAAAATGTGATAAAGGGTTTTAGAACAATATATATAAATATAAGTGAACAATATTGTTTTCGATTAGATCCTCATCACGCTTTATGCTAATATACAGTAATATTTATATGCATATATGAAATTATTAAACTAATCAAGGTAGTCTATCAGTCACTTGAAGTTATTTATCGTATTCCTACTGGTTTTCCTTATGGTGTTCAATCTCGTCTCTTACACATAGCAGAAGCTATAAGAATTCAAGCCAACAATCTAAGTCTTTGTGTTTATAAGAAATTCGTAACAATCTTATCTCTCTTTTGGCCTTAATAAGTGCTTCCAGGTTTCCCATGGTGCTTTAGATTCAATTGAGTTATGATCACAACTATTGAAATTACTACAATCTCCACAAAATAATCCCTTCTGATACTGATCAACATATGGTCACTATTGATTGGCTTCAAGATGTATATCTTGGAGTTCTACTGAGAAGCAGTGACCAGTGGAGTTCAACCGAATCAGCTGTGAGATAACAACTCACAGATAAAAATGGTGGATGTGTAACTCAATTTCGTGGATTAGTTGAAGTTAGACATTAACACCATTGGATGCTGTCTCAGTGGTCTGGTGGTTAAGCGTTCACGCGTGAGACTAATAGGTCCCAGGTTCGAATCTCGCGGGGTGCGGGATCGTGGATGCGCACTATTGAGGAGTCCCATACTAGGACGAAACGGCCTTCCAGTGCTTCGAGGTCGTCCATGGTGATCTAGCTTCAATCGACTCATGATCTTAACTATTGGAACTTAATAAATGAATTTGTTTATTTTTTTCCATATTCTTTGTTCGTTTATTCCACATCCTCCCACCCTTTTTTTCTCAAATATACGCTTCACGGTGTATTTATCTGGACACTCCTTATTACGTAATTTTATAATTTTTATAAATGTTATATGTATATTATTGTATATGTAGCTCTCTTTTAATAATGTTTGTTTAGATTGGTTAATTGTTCATTTATGCACCTTCTTTTTGTACTTCTTCATAACATTTTTTCTGTAAAGGAAGTTATCAAACTGTATGATGAAAATAAAGATGGGAAAATATCTAAAAATGAATTCATGAAAGCTACAAATAAAAAACTTTCACAATCTGATGTATCGTGAGTTTTTTTTTTAAAAAAATTATTATTTTTGTACTGAACAAGTCATTTGTCTATATCAGTATTTCCTGTACGCTAAAAGTTATTTATAATTAACTGAACTGAAAGAATACAAGTTTAATTACATAACAAGTTAGGTATCTGTTTTATATTGCTTAACTGGGCAGTTTTTTATCCCGCTAGCATAACAGAGCATTATTACTATAATCACGAGATAAGATTAGGAAGGAATTGATCATGAAATGAATAAGGACTCAAGTGGGGACAATCGAATGGATTTGAAAACATAAAATTACAGAACATCTTAGTACAGTCTGAGAATCATACAGTAAATACCTAATTTGCAAAGTTTCAATCAATTATCAGTATGGGGATTGTGGAGACTATTAAGTTCTTGATTAAGATCATGAACCGATTGATGTTAGACCACCATTGAAAACCTAGGAACACTGGACGGCTGTTTCGTCCTATTGTGGTACTCCTCAACAGTGCACATCCACAATCCCGCTTGCGGGATTTAAACCCAGGGCCTTCAGTCTCGCGCGCGAACACTTAACCTAGTTCTATAATATCTGATTTAGCATACAGTTTTATTAAAAAGATATAATTTGAAGAAAATAATTTTAATAGTTAAGATCATGAATCGATTGAAACTAGACTATCATGATAAACCTAGAAACACTGGATATTAATCTCATTTCATTCAAACAATATCTATTTATTACTTTGTCATTGTATGTTTCTTTCAATACATTACAACATCTATTTCAAGATGTGCTGCATTAAGGAAAATATTTCGTGAAATGGATCGAAATAAAGATGGAACTATTTCAAAAGAAGAAATAAAAAATTATATGAAAAATGATTGTAATTTTATATTTCCTATACAAGTTGAACAATGGGTTGATAAATATGATAAAAATAAAGATGAAAGGTTAAATTATGAAGAATTTATTGGATTTGTTTCAGAATATTTGTAAATATAACTTCTTTTTTGGGATAATAATTATTATCATTGTACTAAATTTCATATTCAATAAGTAAATTTTAGTGAATGACAATATGAACTACATTTTTAGCACTTTTTTTTATTTATTTGAATGAATTGTCAAATTTAGTATTGTTTCAATACACTTTTATGAATAACTGAAAAATGTACCTTTTTTTATTGATGAATATTGATTTTGATGGTTGACACCGTAAAATATTTTAAAAACATGGCAGCATGTATTCCATGATGTTGATGACTTGATAATAAAAAACTTACTTACTTACGCCCTTTACTCCGACCAACATTATCCCAACCCACTTTGTCTTGAGCCTTGCTTTCTAGTTCTATCCAATTTTGTTGATTCTTCAAATGTCCGTCTCCATTTCTCGGCATAATGTGTTCTTTGGTTTTCCTCTTTTTCTTTGGCCTTGAGGATTTCATGTGAAAGCTTACCTTGTGACGTAGGTAAGTCCTCCACCTGGAGCCCTTCTAGGGCTACTGCCGGCTCCAAGTCAGGATAAAATAGGAGGGTTGGGTATGGGATTAGCGACCTCACCCTATAGAAAACTAACTCACTAAAACAACGCTTACCAGAAAAAACTTAATATACTAAAACGTGTCCATTAATTAATAATCTTATTTTGAGGTAAATGAGTCGAATCTAAGAAATGCAGACGAAATTAAATTTTTAAGCCTTTTAAATAGTCTTTTAGCTGAAATGTTAATAATAGTAACTTATGCGGTGTTTTTTTGTGGTCTAGGCGTAAAGCCATACATACTTAGAATGGGTTTATTTATAACAGCCTGATCTGTAACTGCAATTTTTAATGTTAAGATTTATAGCTTAAAGTGATGACTCTCACCATCGACAACTTTTTTAATATAAACTCAAGTTCTAACAGTATTTCTATCAGTCCCTCTTAGTGGCTTAAAGAATTCAGTGTAGTACATTTAAACGATGAAGTACTACAAGTGGTTTGGCTATATAAAGTACTTTTAAATATTCAAACTATGGAATTGCTTGCTTATCAATCACTCAAACTTCTGACTGATTTTGGAGCGAAGTTTAGCAATAAAAAAATCTGTAAACAACTCTGTTCTGAGCTTTCCTTCCTAGTTGTTCCCAAGTCCTATTCATAGTCCTTATGTTCACCTCCACTTTCCTGAGTCATGTGTTCTTTGAAGATACTAAGCTAACGTTTGTCTTGTAATGCAACCGAATGGTCACTGTATAGTGTTTACTACCCCTACTATATTTTTCTAACTTACGCAAATGGTAGTGGGTTTGTTATTCCTCACAGTAGATTATTGCTGATGTGTGATGTTTGTATGAACTTGTGGTTTGTTTCAACTTGATGATCTCCTGATTTCAAACCTTTTCATATAGTCCTCAAAAGTATCAAAATCTGAATTTATGTCCAATAATTCCATCACTCGATCCTGCTCGCGACGCCAATGTGATAATTAGAAGTATCTGAATTATTATACGAATTAGGAATTCCAGAAATAACACAGTATAACCAAGATGAACTAAACGAGCACGAAAAAACGTCTTTAGAATTCAAAATCAGGCAGTCATCAAGTACAAAGGACTCATTAGTTCTTACAAACACCACATGATGGCTTTGAAAAAATGAATCTAGAGTAGCATACGTAAACAGCTACTTATTAATACATGTACTGTTTTATTGATGTTGATGATATTTCTTTACGTACGAGTTCTGCATAATGAGGCTGTTTTAATGTTAGCTTTTTAAATTCTGATTATAGTCTTAAGTTACAGTTGCTCAGACTTCCAAATATTTCTCGATAATAGGAATGATTCCACTGTCTTCCCGATTCACGTCTGTATCAAATGCTCCTTGTTCATCCATCATGCTTCCTAGGCATGTAAAGGTTCCCAGCTCTTTCAGAGTTTCACTATCAAATACGATTAGGTTAGTTCTTGCTATTCTGTACTTTAGGATCTTTTTCCATTGTGACTGGTATACTGCATTGCCATTCGTGATATACCTGATGGTCTAGCTACTCTCTTTTTTGTTGTTGATGAACTGTAAAAATATAGAGAGGTTTTTGTGCGTGTTACTTTAATGCACGGCTACATTAGTCTGTTCAAAAGATGTCTCAAGTCCCCAATTAACCTAAGTCATCAGTATTTTGTAATGTTTCAGACTGGTCTCTTCACTTTACTAAATCTCCCTACTAACTTCTTGGCCGCGTTACACAGTTCTTCATTATTTCCTTTTTGTGCTTTTCCAATCCCTATCAATATTTCATCTCGTTGGTCCTGATGCTCTTCTTCAGTCGCTTGCTTCAGTACATTCAACTTGAGTTTTGGCTCTCTTTAGTTTTGTTCAGATATCCTGGACTTTTATCCGCTTATTTTTCCCTTTCTGAATCCTGTTCAGACTATTTACAGAGATCCGTCTTCTAAGACTCAGTTGTCATTAAAAAGAATCTTGAACTAGTTGGTTCTGTTAACTTCTCAAATGAACTCTGTATTAAACTTTAGATATTCCGTTTGTCCAATTTATCAACTCCTCTTTATAGTTAGTTTTAGCCTGGCCACAAAAGATGATCTGTAGTTGTGGAATTTCCCCTGTTTGTTCATACGTCTTCTGTGTAAAATGGTGATGTTTATGACTTTATTGAAAGTACACAGGTTTACCAGCCTCTCATCACCCTCATCTCGCTCTTAGAGTCCATGCTGGCTCATGATGCCTTCGTACCCGATTTAAATGAAGCTGCAGTATAGGTGCTGTCACTTTATTTGAAGTGATCAGAACTTCATACAGCTGCGTTAATCCATCAATATTGAGTGATCCTTTTTTAGTTAACTTAACTTTTAATCATCTGTAGTTTCAAGGTTAGAGTTATACGGTGAAGGAACACTTGACAGAGTAAAACCATTTTTAACGATAAATCTGTAGAAAATTTCTAAAATCCTGTGCTGTTGATGCAGATTTACTTGGATATTGTGTCTTACAACGAAACTTCGAATATTTAGTCTGAACTCAGTAGATTATTCAATAGAGCAATTTTTTCTGACCACGTCAAATTCTGTTATTCTGCATAGGGTGCGGAGTTCCTTTATGTCACTTTAATCCAAAGACTATGCCAAAACAAAACTTTTGTACGTAATTTATAGAAATTAACATTGTGACGTCTTTAGGGCTAGTGATAAGTCGCTCTGTCCTAGTCAGATAATCTGCAGACAACTCAATGAATGTGTAGAACTATGGTCTACTATGATATTAGTACTGCTCTAATAATAGACCTAATCCTAAAATTATAGACTTGTCGTGATATAACTGCCTAATCTATAAGATCTTACGTGGAAGTTACATCATCGTCTACACCGACTCATTGCATCATAACAATTACCAATACATGATGGAGAACAAGCTTAGGTTAGAGAAGGGACAATATATTTAATATGGTTAAAAGATATAAGATAACAGGGACCACTCCTGCATGGCCGAGCCATGCCATTCGACCAACTCCAACTCATTCAACTCCTTGTTCGCGCCTTCTCCATCGTTAGGTATTTCTCCGCGTTAAATATTGAATATCTATTTTCTGAGTAGTCTTGTGTTCAGCTTTGAAGATTGTGTGGTTATGGTCCACTGCAAATCCCACTACAAATGTCGAACATTGTTTCGATTCTCTTAACGGTCGGGCAAAACAGTTGCGCATTATTAATGATCACCTTTACACAGAGTAACCAAGATTGAGAGGCTGTCAATTGAAAATTCTTCACTTGTAAATATGAAGTTTAAACGTGACAGTGTCTAACTTTCTCTTGCGAGTTACTAACTTCACATTTTCGAATGATCTCAGATTTTGAATGACGTCGAAGAACTGAGCTTTGTGAGAGTTGCCACGTCCAATCTACTAGTGTTCAGCCAAGTTGATTTTAGGAAGATTTAAGTCTCCGAGTATCAGGATATGAGTTTATCCGAAACAGGCACTATACAGATTGATCGGGATTGATTAACTCTTGCATGTACACTTGATGTTCCACCAAGCAACTCATGTATAAAGCCACTCCTCCTATTCCTGTTTTTCTGTCGTTGAGAAACAAAGACATAACGAGTATTGCTAGCTTCTGGTCTATGATTTGAGACGTCTATGTTTCAGATATTCCCATCAGATGAGTATTGTTAGTAATACTTAGTTTGTAGTGGCAATTGTCACTAATCTTCTGAGCCGAGCATATAATTACTGAGGAGATTTAAATTCGACATATAACATTAAGTGCAGGTCGTCTTATGTCTTCCATTTGAAACTCGTGGGCTTCCTCGTAGTATTTATCTGAATAAACATTTGGGGAATGTTTTTGAGTAAACACAGACGGACAATTATTAATCGATTCAAAAAGTAACAATCAAATTTTCCCCATATTTTGCGAACCCCTATAAACTTTTAGTAAAACTAGGGAAAACAGTTATCAAAAGACAGAAACATTAAGAAGTTGATCACCATTTAGAACTAATAAACGACCTGATATTATTGAAACAGAGCGAATAAAGAAACAGGTTTACGAGAATATAAATAACAACGGAAGCGGCCATAAATACAACGGAGCAACAAGTCATTATAAAAACATACATGGACGTATTTTCTCCGATATTTGGACTGGAAAATACCAGAATGGAATGTACATATTTCTTAACCACAGCCAAGAAAAAATTATCTTAAAACCTCTTTTATTTGCCTCATTTAACCCATCCGTTATACTTCTTGATTTCTATTCTAACCTACAAATCTAGCTCCACTGTCATTATGGTCAGGCATTTCACCACGACATACTTTAAACCTCAACAATACTAGCCTCTTTCTTCTTTGCTGCTGACAGTTGATATCGCTGTGTGAAATTATTCAGGATCCATTCTCTCCCATTTTTGAAGGAGGCCCCGATGATCCTGCTGGAATGAGCTCCACACCTTCAAATCGTTAAATAATTTTCATGACTTAATATATTAATTT